AACGAACAAGAACAATTATTTTCTGAAAATAAGAGGAAGTGCTACTCTATATCGATGCATCCAAAAGCCTTCCCCATAAAATAGTGGCAGTGGATGGTCTCGTGGGCTCTCCTCTTCAAGCCAGGCTGGGATGACTTGCTGTGCTAATGATACCTACAAAGGTGCATCCTATGGTCTATAGGATGCAAGGAATGTAATCCTCACATCCTCCATCTGAGTTGGAGGAGTGATGGATTTACTCAAATTTCTTGTGGGTTCATTTTTTAAAGTGGAGCCAGGATTTGCACCTGTCATTTGATGCTCTGTTTCAAAGCCCTTGGTGCCACTCCAATGTTCTTCTGGTGTCCAGAGAACAACTTGCCTGCCACAACAGAGAATGAGCTGCCTTGAGGTAAGAATTCAGGCTCCTCCTGTGATTCAGGGGATATTTAAGCATGTAGGCAGATTCTTTTAATATATACTTAAGAATTTTCTGGAAACTGCTGGGAGAGGATCTACTGGAGAGAATCAAAATTGAGTAGAAGAAATAAATCTGTAGCGCTAGACCAGTGAGTGGTACACATCTGACCAAGTAGTCACCATCTACTTTGGACTCTTATTATTGAACCTTTGGAGGCAGATGAAGCCACATTTGCTGCTTTGCTACCTTTCTGACTCATTCAGAAAGAACTTGGCTTATTCTTGATGTTCCCAGCCGGATAATGCAACCTCTGGCTGTGGAAGTGTGAGTCAATGATCTGTCTGTGTCTCAGGTGAGATCTGGTAGCGCTCAGCTCAGGGGTCCTTGCAGGAGCAATGTGGTGAAGGAACATCTCCCCCCACCCTTGCATTCCTTCTCAGTTCAGTTATGGAGTAAGTGAGGGCTGTCAGAGGCACAGAGGCAGCTTTGCAAATGCCAGCAGTGAAAACGTAAGGACCTCTGGGGTTTGCTGACGGCTTCACAGTGGTTTTGAAGACATTAGGGGTATGCAAATGGCAGAGAGGCCCTAAGTACCTCTGAAGATCTGGGCTCAAATAGAAGGTAAATAAAGACTCAGCAGGGATGTTATCATCTCCCTGCTAGGCTGCTTTAATATACACATTCATCATTTCTTTAGATAGCGCGGTGATGGCTTCATTAGAAACGCTTCTGTATAAATAAGTCATTTGGCCACGACAGAGTTCTCATGGAAGGATATTACATGTCTTCTCCTGGTACTAGCAGATACGTTTGGTTATTGATACATGCTCTTTTTTTTTTTCCTTTTTCTTTTTCTTCTTTTTGTTTTATTTTTTCCTGTGAAACACACTCCCACAGTATCTTGGTTTGTAGTCTTAATGCGAAATGACTGTTCAGGTCTGTGATGACCAGGCAATTGAGTCTGGGGAAGACCAGACCACTTTGCTATGGTGGTGGGTAATGACCCATGAACCCAGAACTGAGATCACAGCTTGAGAGTCTCTCATGGCTGGAGAGGCCATGAAGCCATGATACTCAGATTCTTGCATCCTGTCCTTCACTCCAGGGAACACTTCATGTTGCCTTTTTGTGTTTAGATGAGTCATGGGAGTGTTACGCTGCTGGGAAGATATCTCTGCAGGGCTGGAAAGGGACTGGGGAGCTTTTAGACCTTTGTGAGTCACAGACTCAAGAGTGTTACTATCAGGTGAAAAGGAGACAGGACATACTTGGAGAAGCAGTGTTTGTTTAATTTTTTCGAAGCACTCTCTTCCGACACCCACTGTCCTGACACCATTTGATGACTAGCTGAAACAGAGAGGAACAGGAGCGTATCAACTGGTTGTCAGAGCCAGACTGGCGAATACAACACAGTGCCTCTGCTTTCCTCCACCAGCCTCATTTATTTTTGCTGTGATGTAATCCCCTTTGCTTTTCCTTTTCCAGGAAGGAGGGTGCCTATGCAATATTCATGAGGAGCTGGGCTCTTCTCCACAGGCTCCTCTTAAGAGCCATAAATCAACACATTTCACTGCATTGCAGGCTGTTTTTTTCCCCCTACAAGTCTATGAACTGCGCTGATTGCACGTGGATGTAGTTTTCCTTGGATGCCAAAGAACCCCTTGCTTCTTGTCCATAAAGCTATTTGTTTCTCAGCAATGTATTGGCTCTGAGCAGCCCGTAGTAACACTTCAATGGATGCCACCAATTCCTAACCTTTTCTCTTGTCAGAAGCCAACATGGCACAGGTCTGATTTTGTCCAGCTGGTTGAGTTTTTCTGGGGGTGGCAAAGGTCTAGAAACATATATTTATCGTGCTCATCATCTTCTCCCAGAGGTAGTTCTGCAGGACATGTTCTCATGGGATTTCTAGACGCCAGCTTAGATCATGGACAACTGTTCAAGTACACTTGGGGACTGAGGGTTAGGAAGAGTGTAAAGTAAAATCAAGCCAAGACCACTCATCAGTGACAGCAGGTAATATTCAAACCATGGCGTTGAGTTAGACTATAATTTTTGGCTGGTCCTGAGCCCAGAAGACAGTAAATTTAGTGAGTTTTTAATGAGTTTTTATGATGAGCCACTATGAAGACTATGCACGGAGGTGGGAGGAGGACCTTTGCTTCTCATGACTTTCTCTCCCAAGGGTTACATCAACCCTTCCCTGAAAAAACAGGATGGCAACTGAGACCAACCCATTGCAAAAAATCAAGATGTGAGTGCAAAGCACAAAACCAGACTGAACAAAACCAAAGCCTTCTGGTGTGGAGGGGTTTCCTCCCAATGCTTGTGCACTGTGCTGCCTTTCATAGGAGATTTCAGCTTGTCCCACGCTGTCATAGAGAGTATTTTCCCACTTGTCTGCCTGAAGGATCTTTACCATACAGCACTTCAGTGTCCAATTTCTCTGCAGTGGAAAACAGCCTCCATCTCAGCAGGTGTCTCAAAGCTGTTTACAGGACACCTGTCAGCTCTTTTGGCTCCCCGTCCCCTCTGCCTCCTAATTATAAAATTGTGGATTACTGCTGCAGCTATGGGCTTCTTTTTCTTTTTTTTTTTTCCTTCTGCACAAAATGTCAAATTGCAGAAATTAAAAATGTAAATGATGGCATCTAATTAACCAGTTGACAGCAGAGCACAGCTGCGAGTGACAGTGACTGATTACCTTCTGCAAACCTTGTCCTCCAAGACCTGCCTTACCCAGGGGACGAAGGACATCAAAAATAGCAACTACCTTAAAGAGACATTGCTTTGCTGGTGAAACCTGATGGGCAATGGTCCTGGGGAATCTGTATCCTGTGGACAAATCTCCAGCCCTCTTAAGCTCAAGGGGAATGACATTGACTCCTAAGGAAAGCGGGTTTTCTCCAGTTGGAGTGGGGATGGGAGGGTTGAAGTCTGTTGCCACAAACTGACATCAGACCAGCTCGAAGTCTGGGGCAGAAGGGAGGTGGTGAGCAGCAGAGTTGCTAGAATAAGCTCGATTCTGTGAGGGAGGTGGACGATGTTATCAACGGATGCAGATGTACTAGTGTGAATGGTGCAAGCAAGAATGCAAAGAGGATATTTTTGTCTATGGGAGCAAGATCCTTAGCTCTCAATGGACAGTGAAATAAGTGGGACTCTTCTGTGGGACTAGAGGCAGAGCTTGAAGCCCTTAAAGGTCTGACAAAAGAATCCAACATCAAGAGATGCTGCCTACTCCTTTGATGGCCTGTAGCAAGTTCATAGGATGTTCTTGGTAACTTCAGTCTCAGAATAGATTTGAGTAAATACAACACAGGTCTGGAGTTCAGGAGTAGTGCCTCAGTAATTTCCACTTCAGGCAAGTCATCAACCTTACTGCAAAAGAAGAATATGACCAGGTGCATCATTGATGCATCAGAAGAGCCTGAGAGTGCTGTGTGTTCTTTCTTATTGTTGGTGGCTTTCATCTCTTGGCTCTCTACTCTCTTCCCTCAAGAAACACCTGTATTTCTCTCTCTCAGGTACTATTCAGACATTGCCAAAATGCCAGCAATCAGTGACCAGGACATGAATGCGTACTTGGCCGAGCAGTCTCGCATGCATATGAACGAGTTCAACACTATGAGTGCGCTCTCAGAGATATACTCCTACGTTGGCAAGTACAGCGAGGAGGTAAGAACCTTGTAGGAGGAAGAGAAGTTCTGCAGGACTATAGGAGAAGTCACCCATTCTGAGGGCCCAGCACGTGTTGCAGATACCTATCTTCATCCTGGATAGGGAGTTGATGGATTTAAGGAATGAAAAGCAAGCACTGGGAACTGGAAAGGGAAGGTCTGGGGTTATTGTTCTCCCCAGTACTTTTCCATCTGGATCTCTGTTATTTTTGTCCTATGTCAATCTGATGTCAATCAGATTTAGCTGGCTTGCAGTAGTTGATGGTCAAGTGTTAGCTTGCCACAGAGGAGCCCTACATGAGCTCTGCATCATGTGTGGCCAAAAGTTGTTCAAGCCTGTGTACCCAGTGCCATTTCAGATAACCTAAAACACCCAAGAATGGTCCAGCAAGCATGACACAGGACTTAAAGGTAACCAGCATGGTTCTATGTGTTGAAGGCTGGGTGAGACTCTTAGTGCATCTCAAGTGGCATTGTAAAACGATGAGTAAAGGTACCAAATAACTGATAATAACAATCCATTTGATTGGTTGCAATCTAGAAGACTACATTTAGTCAGCTCAATTCCAAACTGGCTGCCTAGTTCCCTGTTGGCAGACTGACCTGCTTTGCACAATGTAAGCTAAGCCTGGGACCCATCTTAGGGAAAGCTAGCCCTAATCTGCTGTTATAAGATACTGGCCTCAGTCCATTTGGACAACGGAAAAATGAAATCCCTATCATTTCTTTCTCCCTCTTTTTTCAGATTCTCGGAGCCCTTGATCAAGACGATCAGGCTGGGAAACAAAAACTTGCCTACAAACTTGAACAAGTCATAACCCTCATGAGCATAGACAGCTGAGAACTGTCCTGCCAGGGACACCCTGGGAGGGATAAACCAAGTCGTGCCTCACTCAAGATCATCATCTTTACCAAGTGCAAGTTTTGATCGGCTGTAAGCAGAGTCACCTGAACAACGCTCCTCTTTCTCTCTCTCATTTCTTTCTCTTTCAAAACCTAAAAAGTGACAAATTCCCAGGGGTTAAAAGAAAAGACTGCAGAGGAATCTTGGCTCTGGGGACATCCTGACATTCGGGTGGAGCTCTCCTTTTCACAGCTTCTCCTCTGCCTTTGCCCTAGAGAAAAACTGTTACACACACACAAAAGAAAACCAAGATAAAAACCCACAAACCCTCCCCGAACATCACATCATCACTCTGCAGATGGGAAATTGAGAGATAACTTCTGTCATGCTGCTTTAACTGCCCTCCAAGGGCTGTAGCCTCTGGAGTGGACATGGAAATGAACTCAGTATTACTAAAAGTCTCCCCAAGGGGAAGGCACCCTGCCTGCAGGGATCCTGGAGGGCAGGAACAAATCAAGATCCTCTCCTGCAGAGCCATTGCAACTCTATCTCTTGATAGTGACCCACTGGGAGAGGAACCCCAAGGCTCCCCGAAAGATGCCACAGCTCCGTCCAGAGTGGGACCGTTGTGGCTCTTACCTGCCTGGGCTAGCAGCACTGTAGCTGGAGCCTTGGGGCAGGGGAAAGGTCAAGAGGGGAGGAGGAGACCGATGATCCCCTGCCCGTGTGTTTCATATGGTTATTCTTATTTTTCAAAGAGACCTGTGTCCCCCTCTGTCTTTCCCATTGTATCCTGTTGGTCATAGAACTGCGGCAAAAATGTTTTCTCTGCTCGATGGCATCCTGTCAGTGTTGGTTCTGTTCCTTCTGGCAATGGACAGCACAGCATCTCCTTCATTCTCACCTGAGCTTGGAAGGCAAGAGCCAGAAGTCTAATTTTGTTCCTGGCGAGGAGTTCAGCCTCCAAAAACAAGCAGAGGGTTGTTTTTAAAAGCTGTTAGTTCTTTCAATTTTGTTTCCTCAGCTGAAACAAAGCTATTGTTTTCTCATGGTGGAATGTCAGAGGGACACTGAAGAGTTTGCCATGAAGCAAGGTGGTGCACAGGACTGATGGTAAGATTTTCCTTCGATGCCACTCCTAAGAGGAAATGTTACCACACGTTTTGGAAGGAAAGCTTGGAGAAAATCCAAATGAAAGACTGCAAAATATTCTTCTACCTAGATGCCTCCAGCTGAACTGCATGTCTTCTGGAGGTCTTTGAATCACTGTAAGCTCATCTGCCTTTTGGTGCCAACTCCTGGCCTTTCCTTTTCTCCATTTTCATAACCAACAGGCCTTGCTGAAGGCACAGCTGCTGCCTGGGAAGGATTTGCTCTCAGTTTGCACTTCCTATCCCTTCACTGTTACCATAGAACAATTGTGGGTGTTCACTCTGTCCTATCCTCTGCTCAGCTCCTCCAAAACAACATCTCAACCTGTTTCATGGCCAACCAAAGAGGAGTGAGCTGCTGTGTCTCTTCTGCATTTGGCTGTTTCGTCCATACAGCTCCCAGCCTGGATGACATCATGGTTCAGCATAGTGGGAGACCTTCAGGGTCTGGAGAACCTTGCATCTTGTACACCATGGAAGCAAGAGCTGGGTCTGCATTCATCTCATCAGAAGTGAAGAGAGCTCACTTGTAGGTGGAGGAAAGGTTTGATGCCACGGAGAATCAGCCCACACCCACCTCACACCATCCTCAGAGCTACAGCCCGGATCTACTTTGCACCTGGAGGGAGGAAGGGGTAAAGACAGGGTGTGTACATTGATTACAGAGCGAATGCATTTGGTTTTGTTCATGCCTCTTGCTAGCCAACCAGAACCTCTTCAGAGAGACAGATCATGAGTGCGTCTAACGGGGGATGTGGTGCAAAGAGGAGTTAGTCAGCAAGCGGGTTTCATTCAGCCAAGCAGATACACATGTAGGCAAGTCTTTCTAAAACCATTTAAAGAACAGCAGTTCAAAACTGGATGTGTCTGTGGGAAGAATACCACAAGATTCATATTGAAACAGCAAACTTAGGGACACGTCTTGGTTTTAAAACCCCAGACATTTCTCTCTTGATTATAATTATTATTATTTTGTGCGTGTGCGTGTGTGTGTATCTGTGTGCGTGTGTGCGTTATTTCCTTTTTAATTTTGCTTGCATTCTGTTTGATTGCTGAGCTGATGGACTCATCATGCACCTTATGGACATCTCAGCATTTTTAAGAGGCCTGCGCATTGGGAATGATTTGGGTTCGGTTGGTTCTGCCATGGTTTTGTTGATCCATTTAGTAACGTTGGCGCATGTTCCAGATCCATTGATTATGGCTGTGAAAGTGGGGTGGAAGTCCCACCAGAGCCAGCGGTAAGAAAATTACAACAACACCACAAACACAGTATTTTTTATAAATACATAACAAAGGAAAATTATTTAAAAAAAAAAAAGGAAGAAACCAAAGGTTTTGACAAACAAAGTGCCACAAAAGATAAATATGGACCCTATTGTCATGCCTTGTACTCACAGCTGGATGGTAGGTGTCTAAGGACAAATAGCTGGCTTGGAGGGAAGTTGTTATGAGTGATGGGCTATACTGCCTGGACATGCGCACACGAAAGGAAGAAGAAACTGGTTTAAAATGAAAAAAAAAAAATCAGAATGAACTGATGTAATCCTGCACTGTTACTGAAGTCAGAGGAACACCACAGGGGAAATTTGAGACTCACCCTGTTTCTTTTTGATGTTTTCAGGGCTGTGTTTTTGTTTTATTATGGTTGTTTTTCATTGTTATTATTTTATTTCTCCTTGCTGGTACGAAGTTTTTTGTCTGTAATACGTATATATATTTCGAGAAAAACTTGAACACCTCAGAGACACTGAGAATGAAACACTTAGGGGAAATGGGAAGTGCCAGGAGATTGGTGTCTTAACCCTTCCCAAGTTCCCATTTAGGCCTTTCCATTTTCTTTCCACCCTCTCCTTTCCCTCATCCCCTGGATTTGAAAGAAAATCTATATTTTACTTCTCTTTCATCTATTTTTTTTGCCTTTTGTTTTTTCTTTATCTGGTGTTTGACCTGGTTTTGGCTTTCGCTTCGAAAATGTGCCAGAATCATGATGTAAATGCGTGGGCTTCCTCCCCTGTCCCCTTCAGTGCCCTCCCCGTGTCCAACCACTGTCCCAGCATCCCACAGTCTATGAGAGGTCTTGGCATCTTTCTTCTCAGCCTCACTTGTTGAACTAACTATTTTTTAAGTGCATGTAAAATACAACTAAAAACAAAGACACAAGCAGAAGAATGAGCCCTACTGCAACACGGATGCGTTCTTTTCCTCTTCCGTTGATTTGTTTCCCCCCACCTCCCTTTCCACACTTGACCAAAAATGCCAAATAGGTGGTATTCCACACTGTTTTTCAAGCCCTAGAACTCAATGGACAGGCTCCTAATATCCAGAATATGCTACATGATAGGATGATCTTCATGGGTATTTCTCAAACACTGCAATCAAGACAATGAGTGATGACACTTGCACCACCATAGAAAAATGGAGAAAGGGAATTCATGAAGAGTCTTCCTGGTCACTACCGAGAGAGCTAAGATTATTTCTTCACTGCAGAATTTCTCTGGGACTTTGCTCCTGGCTTATAGGAGGAACAGTCCTTTGGCAAACATGTCGTGTCCTCCCTGTGAATGCACTCACCCATCAGTGACACAACGATCTGAGACACAATCCATCATGCCATGTGCTTTTGCAGACTGAGCCTTCCAGTAAGCACTGTTGAGGGAAAAGTTGTGTGTTATCAGGAAGGAAGTTGAGCAGAGAGCGCAGGAGAACTATCAAAAGGAGAAATGTGCCCCTCCAAGGGCACTTTCCTGTCCCAACATGCCCCCGACCTTATATTCCCACTCTTCATTCTGTCCTGTACATATCTAAAGGTTTGTTTCCATCCAGCACATATCAGCCTTTCTCCATTAGGTAAGAAGGCTATGACAATTTTCTCATCTGTAGTTTTACCACTGCAGTTGTCCTATCAGACCTCTTTGACACTGGAGACCACAGAAACGTTCTTACATGAAATGAATATTTACTGGCAGAATTTTGGTTAGTATTTGCTTTAATTGAAAAGTTTCTGGATCTTGTGTATTAGCTCACAATAAGGTGTTTACCATGAAAGGAAAGAGAACAAGTAAATCACAAAGTGGTCATCATTATTTTTAATAACACTGTTGAAAGCTGATAGAGTGTTAAGATCCCAGTGGCAGGTGTCACTGTTGACTCAGCCTTTGCAAAGACTTTTACATGTCCTTTCCACATTTTCTGAAGTCTTTCTGTGGTGTAACAGCCCAAGAACAAAACAGCTAACATCAAGATGACAATTGTTTAAAAGTTCACCAAAACAGAAAATGCAGATCCATCCTTTCCCACGGCTTTAGCAAAACGCTTTGGAAAGAGACATTATTATGTGGAAGACTCTTCCACGGCAAGATCAGAAACCTGGAAGAACTGAGTCCTAGGGCTCCTTTTAGTGGGGAATACATTTGTGTTTCTACAGAGGACTCTTAAGTCCAATGACCATGTCACAGCAAAAAAGAAAAGTCTGGTCTGCTGGAGATGACCAGGTATACTCTCTTCTATCATCAAGGCATCAGTAAAACAAGTCATGCTTCATCCTTCCCAGTGGCCTGTAGAAGAACTACTCATGAAGCAGATTCATCTGATGGCATGGAGATATTTCTTGGTGCTGTAAAAAGAATGAGAGGCAAGAAGAAAATTCCCTGCTTCTCAAACTCCTGAGTCAGGCTCTAGTGTGTAAGAGGTTTGATCCTCCACAAAAAACTGTTATTTTCTGTGGTGGCCATTGCTGATGTGTGATTATGCAGTGACCAGATGAACACTTTGCCAGAGCCCCATCAGACCCAACAAGGTGCTTTTAGTCCTTTTCTTCTCCCTGATTAAGTATTTAGCTACAGA